CTGTTCGTTTCTTCCCTCCCCGCTCGCTTTCCCCCCTCCCATGGCGGCGGCGCCTGGCGCAGCGCGGCTCCGGCCCGGTGCTGGCAGTGCACCTTGCCGCCTCGGCGGCCCCAATCACCCTTGGCAGCGCGGCTCAGGCCCAGCCCGCGGCAGGTGGGCACAGACGGCCCTTCAGGCCGAACCTCTTGGCTGCTACCTGGACGTGGATTGGACTACCACCCCAGGCCGCTACCGACCACCCGGTGGCACAATGTTGCACATCGCCTTCGTGGTCCTCCTCATCTCCTGGGCCTCTCCTCACCAGTTGGTGGCGCCTGGTGCACTTCGCCTACCTGGTCTTCTGGCCACTTCCCTCCCCGCGCAGCACTCGGGGATGGTGATTCTGGTGCGCCATTGACGGCAACGCCACTTCGCTCTCCCTCCGGGACTTCGCCTCCGGCTCCTGTCCAGGGCGTACCTTTTCCTGTCCAAGCTCTTCGGCGCCGCCTGCGCCCCGCACCCTCCGGCCGCCTGAGGCCCCGCCCGCCCGCGCTCTGTTTCTCCAATTAGTGTTTCGCGCGCCCCGCCTAGCTGTTAACCAGAAGAGGCCCGCTCTCGACCCGCCGACCAAATGGTGTGTGTGTGTGTGCGCAGCAGCAAACATTAGCTCACTCTCGGCACTGCAATTTTTTAGTTTAAGCTGGCGAGACAAAAAAAACTCATCAGCCAGGCAATCTCAGCGAACTCTGAGCGCAGGGCGGTTTATTATTATGTCTTGGAGTTGCGGCGCCCCCCTCGACGAGGAGGGCCGCGACTCCAGTGGAATGCCAGCGTGCGCGCTGAGTCTCTGGCTGTCGCAGCGGGCGGCCCGGTAAGAGTGTCCTTGCGTTGGAGCGACGAGGAGGATGAATGATAGGAGGGAGGAGGGGGACGAGGAGGAGGATAAGAGGACGGACGGTCAGAACGAGGAAGAGGAGGAGGAGGAGGAGGAGGAGGAGGAGGAGGAGGAGGAGGAGGGAGGAGGAGGAGGAGGAGGAGGAGGAGGAGGAGGAGGAGGAGGAGGAGGAGGAGGAGGAGGAGGAGAGAGGAGGAGAGGAGGAGGAGGAGGAGGAGGAGGAGAGGAGGAGGAGGAGGAGGAGGAGGAGGAGGAGGAGGAGGTGGAGGAGGAGGAGGAGGAGGAGGAGGAGGAGGAGGAGGAGGAGGAGGAGGAGGAGGAGGAGGAGGAGGAGGAGGAGGGAGGAGGAGGAGGAGGAGGATGGAGGAGGAGGAAGGAGGAGGAGGAGGAGGAGGAGGAGGAGGGAGGAGGAGGTGGAGGAGGAGGAGGAGGAGGAGGAGGAGGAGGAGGAGGGAGGAGGAGGAGGAGGAGGAGGAGGAGGAGGAGGAGGAGGAGGAGCGGAGGAGGAGGAGGAGGAGGAGGAGGAGGAGGAGGAGGAGGAGGAGGAGGAGGAGGAGGAGGAGGAGGAGGAGGAGGAGGAGGAGGAGGAGGAGGAGGAGGAGGAGGAGGAGGAGGAGGAGGAGGAGGAGGAGGAGGAGGAGGAGGAGGAGGAGGAGGAGGAGGAGGAGGGAGGAGGAGGAGGTGGAGGAGGAGGAGGGAGGAGGAGGAGGAGGGAGAGGAGGAGGAGGAGGGGGAGGAGGAGGAGGAGGAGGTGGAGGAGGAGGAGGAGGAGGAGGAGGAGGAGGAGGAGGAGGAGGAGGAGGAGGAGGAGGAGGAGGAGGAGGAGGAGGAGGAGGAGGAGGAGGAGGAGGAGGAGGAGGAGGAGGAGGAAGAGGAGGAGGAGGAGGAGGAGGAGGAGGAGGAGGAGGAGGAGGAGGAGGGGTGAGTCGGAGGTGCTGGTGAGTTAGAATTGTCTGTGGTGCGGTCTTCTCCAGGGCGCAAATATTTAGCCCAGACATTCGTGTGGCGGCCTCTGGCGGGGTTTCTTGGGCCATGTGACCGTTTTGGTACGTTTTCGGGGAGCCTGCTGGGGTCGTCTTGCGGCCCGCTTGGGGCTCTCTTGTGCTGGCTTGATGCCTTCCTTGGGCCGCCTGGAGGTTCCTGGGGTCTCATCTCTTGGGGTTCTTTTGGCACTCTTCGGCCGTTGTGCTAAAATCAGAAGGCAATTGCTGGTTTTGGCCTCTTGGGTGCCTCTTGGGGTTTTCCTTCGGGCCGTCTTGGGGGCCGCTTTGTGCATTGTTGGGCGATTTCGTGCCGTCTTTACTCCGTCTTGGCCGTCTTCAGGCTCTCATGCCGCCGTCGAGCCCTCTTGGTACCATCTCGAGCCATCCTTATCCATCCTGGCAGTGTCCGGGAATTCTGGGGGCCCCCAAGTGGCCGTCGTCGTGTCGATGGGGCCACCGAAACCCAAATCATCGGGTCGGGGATAGACAAGGGTTGGTGACACCTGCTGGTCAGAATTCGAGGGGCCACCCCCACTTGCGGTCTGCCTCCGCTGCTGTGGAGTCATAGCGCGGCGCAAGTGGCAGGCCAGAGGCTGTTCGCCCTTGGCCTCACGGGGGAACAACAAAAAACTCTCCCCCTGTTTTCCTGGTGCCCGCCCCCCTTACAACATTCCAAGCCAGCATTTGGTTAGCACGGCCAAGGCCCCCCTTGCTCCCAGCTGCGCCAGCTGGTCGGGGGGGGCCCGCCGGACCGGCGCTTTGCGTATAGTTATCCCCGCCAGCCTATTTGGAAAAGATCCCCGTGTGAGTTGTCGTGAGAGAGGTGGTGGGTCATCAGCGGATCACAGGGGGGACAACTGTCAGGCCGAAGTTCGGGTCAGCTCGAGGAGCGCCCATCTGTGGCAACGCCGGGGCTCTCTGGGGATTGTCTTGGGCGCCACGCTATTTACTTGAGCGTTTCGATCCATGCCTCTCGGGACGATCGCCCAAAGGGGCCAATTGGCCGTGGCCACTTGGCAGGGGGCGCGGCTGACAGTGCTGATGACGATGATGATGATGATGATGATGATGATGATGATGATGATGATGATGATGATGATGATGATGATGATGATGATCTTTATGTTGATGAGGATGATGATGGTGATGATGATGATGACGGTGACGATGATAATGCTGATGAGGTGATGATGGTGCTGATGCTGCTGATGCTGCTGCTGATGTTGATGTTAATGGTGATTGTCGCGCGGAGCTCATCGGGAAAATCTATGGAAAGGGAATGGCCGGTATCAGCCGGCCGAGCTTGAGCCCAACATGGCTACGGACATAGAGGTGAGGATGGGGACGAATATGGGTAGGAGTAAGAGGAGGACAAGCAGGAGGAAGAGGAGATGGAGGTGGAGGAGGATGAGGAGGGGGAGGAGGGCGAGGAGGAGGACGAGGAGGAGGATGATGAGGATGAGAAGGAGAGGTAATAATACGAATAATGATACGACTGCGTTTCACATGAATATGGGAACAACACCTGCACCCGTACTAAGAAGACACATGGTAATGCAACTCGTGATAACAATAAGAAAAAAAACAGTATTAATCATGCTAACGACAATAAGGAACAGAGGAAGGGGAGGAGGAGGGCGGAGGATGGAGGAGGACGAGGGGGTTGATGAGGCAGGAGGGGAAGGGACAAGGACATCTCCAGTCATGGGACACCCTGCCCGCCTGGGCGCTCCACCTGGCTCGCAGCCTTCTTGGCCCTTCTTGTCTACGTCGTGCTCCGCGATCGCTTGTCTCCGCCGCCGCCGCTGCCGTCGTCGTGGTCGTCGTCGTCGTCGTCGTGGTCGTTGTCGTCGTCCTTCGCTCCTCATCCTCATCATCCTCCTCCTGCTCCTGATGCTGCTCCTGCTCCTCCTTCTCCTCCTCCTCCTCCTCCTCGTCTTCCCAATGGTCTTTGTCCTCATCCCTGTCTGGCTTCTCTTTCTCCCTCCCCGCTTGCGCCTGCTGGTCGCATGGTAGGTGGGCGGCCCGCAAAAGTTCAAAGCGAGGCTGAGGAAGCTAAACTGCCAGTGCCTCGTGGTGGTGGCGCCCAAGCTGCCAGAGCCGTGGTCTGGTGACCAGCTCAGGGGCCAGAGCGGCACGGGATCAGCCAAGCAAGCGCCCGAAATCGGTTTATTCTGAGCCGTTTCCGAAGTCGGTTGAGTTTGGGCCTCATTGTTTTTTTTTTTCTCGCTGGACCTGTGAGGGGCCCTGCCAGGCCTGCTCTTGGGGCCCCAATGGCCCTGAGGGATGGCCAGCCGACCACGGCACCGGAGCTGAGACTGGTTGCGGAGATCAGCAGGGAGGTGCAGGACCGCCACGGCCTGGGTGGTGGCGCGGCCATCGCCGCCGCTGCCGCCGCCAGAGGCGATGTCCACGACGACCCAGGCCCCCGACCTCCTGGAGAAGTCAAGATGTCTTTTTGTCCGCACTTCTTGGCCTCCAGGAGCCGTTGTCTTGGCCGTGGGGCCGTCAAAAAGATCCGGGAAGAAACGCCAGTCAAAGGGAAAAGGGTCGAGAAGCCAGGGGACCCCGTATGAGCAGGTCAGGACATCGAAGGTCCGGGGACGCTGCTGCCGCCAATGCTGCCGCTGCCAGTCGCGATATCGACGACGATGGCGAACGTTACCGACGGCAACACTGGTGCTACTGACGACTCTGCTGCAGGTCGCGTTGCGAAGGAGTACGCAGGCGCCGACGATGACAGCGATGGCGACGATGGCAGCTACGATGGTGGCGAGTATGGCGACAGCGATGGGGCACTAGTAGTGATGCTGATGCTGCTGCTGATGATGATGTGATGATGATGATGCTGATGATGATGATCGACAATACAAGGATCAGGACTCTGCTGGATGGGGAGGGGATGGAGTGCAATCGCAGGTTCAGAAACATGGGGGCCCTCAGATCGCATCAAACACACGGGGGAGGATCAGAGCACGGCGAGATTAATTTCTTTACGCGGGTGACGGTGACCAATCAATGCCCCTCGTGCCTTTCGACGTTCGCGTGTCGCCGCACAGCCATCAATCACATCACAGCAGCTTATCGGCAAGGGAGATGTTTTGCATATCGCTCGGTCTACACTCACCCCGTTGCCCCTCCGCAGCTGTTTGAGTGCCCCGAGACCGATTGCGGCGAGGAGTTCGACGATTTTTCTTCCCTCCAGAAACACATTTGTAGCAGCCACCTTCCGCTACCTCGGCCTCATGTCGTGGATGCAGGGCCTGCCAGACTTCAGCGAAAAGGACGACACCGAGCTCCGCGCACGGAGAGGAGGTCGCAAGGGATCCGCGGGCAAGGCAGGCAGCTCCAGAGGCGAGGGCTCGAACGAGCACACGCCGAAGAGGAAGGACACCAAGAGAGGGGACCTGAGCGAGCTCGACTATGGCGAGACGGACGTGACCAAGAGGCGGTCGCTGCGGAGCTTGGCCTAGCGACAGCGACAGATCGAGATTATCGGGCTGAATACATTCATCATCATCATGTCGTTAGGACTGCAGATGGCAGCGAAGGCGAAAAAGGACGAGTATGCGCTTGGATACGCGGCGCAGAAAACAGCAGGGCCTACTAAAACAAGCAGCAGAGCGACGAGAATATCAGGCTGACGGGCACGAGCTCGGTGGCGTGCTACGCGGGCGTGGTCGGGGGCTGATGGCCGAGGGCAGCGCGGTGAGGCGCGCGAGCCAGCAGAATCCCGAGACCATGGCAGGCGAGGTGGCCCCGCTGGCGAAGGGCACTGTCTGCTACGAGGAAGGGCAGGTGAAGCTTGTACTGGCGCCAGGCGGCGGGCTGACCGTGGCATCCGTGCTGAACTCGCTGATCCAGGAGGGGCCGACTACAAGCAGAGAGTGGCCCAGAGGGGCCACCCCGAGAGATTGATCAACGCGGGAGCCCAGGAGCTCGACGGCGCGATGTTCGACCGAATTTAGAGGAGATGGCTTTCGAGAGGCCTGAGGCGCCACGACGACGACGACACTCTGAGACCGTGAGCAGGCTGTGCCAGGCCGCCCGTAGGGCCCAGGAGTCCCCCCCCCCTCCTTCGCCCTCGGATGTTGTGCCTCCCTTGTTTTATTCCCGGCACCCCCCCTCCCTCTTCCCCCTTCCGAATGAGTTGCGCAGCTCGTGGGAAGATCGTTCGCGGAATTCGAGGCTTCCGAAGAGGCCGACTTTGGCAACAGGGACTCCTGACATCCTGAGGCGCACCGCTTTGGTCAGAGCCCAAAAATGGGCTCGGGGTTTTCAGAGAGCTAGGGCACGGCCTAATATGACGCGACTTTACGGCTTCTGTCGGGTGCATGGCGGCAGCGATTGTGAGCAGTTGCGAGTTGCGAGATGCACGGCCGCGCATCGCAAACTTGAGTTCGGGTGTAGCCCGATCCCAGAGGCACCCGAGAACGTGGGACTGACGGCGCCGCCTCCGATGTATTCGATCCGATGATAGTGGTGATGATGATGGTGATGATGACGGTGATGATGATGCTGATGCTGGTGGTGGTGATGGCGATGGTGATGATGACGATGACGACCGTAACAACATTGCGACTATGACGGAAACAACGACGTCATCCTCCGCGGCCTTTTGAAATCGAGCCCGCTGCGCGCGGATTCTCAGGGGCCTCGCGGGTGGCCCCGTTCCTTGGGGTGCCCCGCGGGACGCTCTGACCGCGCCCCCGCCGCATCGGAAGGCGTCCTGACGTGCTCTGACATCCCCACGTGCAGCCAGGCACGTTTTTCGTTTTCTCCCCAAGGAGTGTTTGCAGCTAGGGGTTATTATCTTGCTTCTGTTCTAAGGAACTGGGCCTGGCTGGCGGTCTGGCGGCTCCGTGCTCGCCGTTGTCGCCCTGTCGCCGCCTGGTCGCCGCCCGTTGTCTGGGCCTGGCTGGCGGTATGGCGGCTCCGTTTTCGCCCCGTCGCCGCCTGGTCGCCGCCCGTCGCCGCCTTGATTGCACAACGTATATTGCACCACATAGATTGCACCGCGCACATTGCGAAACGCAATTTCCACACCTTATTTTGCAGCACGCAGATTGCACAGATGTTGCACCACATACGCTGCACCACATATCTTGCATTTTTTTATTTACCTCTTCTCTCTCTGTATATGTATAGATGCACGTATCTATATACTTATGCATGGAGGTGTATATTTATGTATATATGCATGCATGCATGCATGCATGCATGCATGCATGCATGCATGCATGCATGCATGCATGTATACATGTATACATACATACATACATACATACATACATACATACATACATACATACATACATACATACATGCATGCATGCATGCATGCAAACACACACACACACATGCGGAGCATCAGGGGTGCACTTCCGGCACCGCGCCCCCGGGCCTCCCAGGGAGGCCCCCAAACGCGCCAAGACGGCCCAAAACGCCCCCGAAGAGCTCCTAGAGCGCACAACAACAGCTCACGACGCTGTCAAGCAGCCAAAGAAAACCTTCTGACGGTTTTCCAGGCTCCCAGGACCGCCGAAGAGTTAACCAGAAGGCTTCCAAGAGGTCCCATGAGACCTCCAAGAAGCGTCCGGGAGGGCGCGAAGAGCCCCCAAATCGTTGATTGTCATTGTTTTCCCAACCATCCTGTGGTGTTGGGTCCTCGTTTTGAAGAGACGGCGCCACGCGTCCCCCCTCCTCCTCCCTCCTCCTCCCCCTCGTCCCTCCTCCCTCCTCCCTCCTCCCCCTCCTCCCTCCTCCCGTTCCTTGCCTTTGCTGTCGGCACACCTCTCACACGTTTCGTAGCCCCATAGGGAGCTCCAGTGAAGGTCCCAATGGGGGGGGGGGGGGGCGCATGCGCCCGCCACACCCAGCATAGCGCTTCGTGGCCCCATAGGGAGCTCCACCGAACGTCCCAGTGGGGGGGGCGCATGCGTCCGCCATACCCAGCATAGCGCTTCGTGGCCCCATAGGGAGCTCCACCGAAGGCCCCAGTGGGGGGGGGCGCATGCGTCCGCCACACCCAGCACAGCGCTTCGCGGCCCCATAGGGAGCTCCACCGAAGGCCCCATTGGAGGGGGGCGCATGCGTCCGCCACACCCAGCACAGCGCTGCGTGGCCCCATAGGGAGCTCCACCGAAGGCCCCATTGGGGGGGGGGCGCATGCGTCCGCCACACCCAGCACAGCGTTGCGTGGCCCCATAGGGAGCCCCACCGAAGGTCTCAGCGGGGGGGGAAGCGCATGCGTCCGCCACACCCAGCACGGCGTTTCGTGGCCCCATAGGGAGCTCCACCGAAGGTCCCAGTGGGGAGGGGCGCATGGGTCCGCCACACCCAGCACAGCGCTGCGTGGCCCCATAGGGAGCTCCACCGAAGGCCCCAGTGGAGGGGGGGCGCATGCGTCCGCCAAGCCCAGAACTGCGGTTCGTGGCCCCATACGGGGCTCCCCCGAATGCGATACCCACAACGGCATATGGTTGGGTCCTTCGCCAGAGTAATTGTTCCCTACATCCAAAGTGGGGTTCTTGTTTTCTCTGCACACCCCGCGCAGGAACACTCACCCCAACCCCTCTCCTCTTCTGCCTTCGCACACTCACTCACTCACTCATCATCATCACCACTCACTCACACTCACACCCACTCGCACTCCCTCATCATCAACATCAGCATCATCACTCGCGCTCTCTCACACGCTCAGTCACTTACATATGTACTCATCATCTTCATCATCATCATCATCATCATCATCACTCGCACTCGAGGAAGTCTCAAGCGGAAGCCTCGTCTGTGAGTGAATTGCGAGGAAGTCTCAGGCGGGAGCCTCCTCCCTATGGGGCCAGCACTTCATGTTCGAGTCCGAGCGGGTCACCCGCAACGTGCAACTGTCGTCACTTTTGGGCTCTTGAGGCCTGAATATGGAGGCAGTATCAGGCGGGAGCCTCGTCTGTGAGTGAATTGTGAGGAAGTCTCAGGCGGGAGCCCCCTCCCTATGGGGCCCGCGCTTCATGTTCGAATCCGAGCGGGTCATCCGCAACGTGTAACTGTCTTCACTTTTGGGCTCTTGAGGCCTGAATATGGAGGAAGTGTCAGGCGGGAGCCTCGTCTGTGAGTGAATTGTGAGGAAGTATCAGGCGGGAGCCCCCTCCCTATGGGGCCCGCACTTCATGTTCGAACCCGAGCGGGTCATCCGAAACGTGCAACCGTCGTCACTTTTGGGCTCTTGAGACCTGAGCATGGAGGAAGTCTCGAGCGGGAGCCTCGTCTGTGAGTAGATTGTGAGGAAGTCTCAGGCGGGAACCCCCTCCCTATGGGGCCCGCGCTTCATGTTCGAATCCGAGCGGGTCATCCGCAACGTGCAACTGTCGTCACTTTTGGGCTCTTGAGACCTGAATATGGAGGAAGTCTCAAGCGGCAGCCTCGTCTGTGAGTGAATTGCGAGGAAGTCTCAGGCGGGAACCCCCTCCCTATGGGGCCCGCACTTCATGTTCGAGTCCGAGCGGGTCATCCGCAACGTGCAACTGTCGTCACTTTTGGGCTCTTGAGGCCTGAATATGGAGGCAGTATCAGGCGGGAGCCTCGTCTGTGAGTGAATTGTGAGGAAGTCTCAGGCGGGAGCCTCCTCCCTATGTGGCCCGCGCTTCATGTTCGAATCCGAGCGGGTCATCCGCAACGTGCAACTGTCGTCACTTTTGGGTTCTTGAGACTTGAATATGGAGAAATCCTCGAGCGGGAGCATCGTCTGTGAGTGAATTGTGAGGAAGTCTCAGGCGGGAGCCCCCTTTTTATGGGGCCCGCACTTCACGTTCGAATCCGAGCGGGTCATCCGAAACGTGCAACTGTCGTCACTTTTGGGCTCTTGAGACCTGAGTATGGAGGAAGTCTCGAGCGGGAGCCTCGTATGTGAGTGCATTGCGAGGAAGTCTCAGGCGGGAGCCCCCTCCCTATGGGGCCCGCGCTTCAAGTATACGCGAATTACGAGGAAGTCTCAGGCGGGAGCCCCCTCCCTACCGGGCCCGCAGATCATGTAGGTAATCCGAGCCGGTCATCCGAAACGTGTATCTGTCGTCACTTTTGGGCTCTTGAGGGCTGAATATGGAGGAAGTATTAGGCGGGAGCCTTGTTCACTTTTGGGCTCGTGAGACTTGAATATGGAGGACGTCTCGAGCGGGAGCCTCGTCTGTGAGTGAATTGTGAGGAAGTCTCAGGCGGGAGCCCCCTCCCTATGGGGCCCGCACTTCATGTTCGAATCCGAGCGGGTCATCCGAAACGTGTAACTGTCGTCATGTTTGGGCTCTTGAGGCCTGACTAGGAGTGACTTGCGAGGAAGTCTCAGGCGGGAGCCCCCTCCCTATGGGGCCCGCACTTCATGTTCGAATCCGAGCGGGTCATCCGAAACGTGTAGCTGTCGTCACTTTTTCTCCACACCCAAAGTGGGGTTTTTGTTTTCTCTGCACACCCCGCGCAGGAACCCTCACCCCACCCCCTCTCCTCTTCTGCCTTCGCACACTCACTCGCCCACTCATCATCATCACCACTCACTCATACTCACACTCACTCACACTCTCTCATCATCAACATCAGCATCATCACTCGCGCTCACTCACACGCCCAGTCACTCACATACTCATCAGCATCATCACCATCATCACTCGCACTCTGTCACACGCTCACTCATTCACATACTCACCTGGAGGAAGTCTCAGGCGGGAGCTTCGTCTGTGAATGAATTGTTCCCCACATCCTAAGTGGGGTTCTTGTTTTCTCTGCACACCCTCCGCGCAGGATCTCCTCCTCCTCCTCCCTCTCCTCTGCTCTTCTTTGCTTCCTCCTCCGCATCATCATCATAACCATCACCATCA